CATCTTGTACGGAAACCGCCGAAGGCGGTTCCCGCTAACTAACAACTGCTCTACAACTGTCTTGTGTGTCGTCCTCTGTAACAACCCTCCCTGTGACTCAACTGAACCCGTGTGATTGTACAACTCTCAATATGTCTTATAAGTCTGGTTATATCGAGTCCTCTAACGGCCCTCGCTGTGAGAACTCGAGGTCACGAGTCGAAGACTCTCGACATGTGTATCGTCCTATGGAATCTGTACCCTATGGGTCCTCATCGCTCCGCTCTCCCCCCAGTACTCGACATACGACGTCACATCACGATCATGGAGATCGCAAATACTCTGAGGCCCACTTTCCTGTGATGCCGGCATGTTCGCTATGCGAACGCCAAGTAGCTGCCCATCCACTGTCTGTTCCCTCCTTTGTCAGTCATCACGTTTCCCCACCAACGGTACGTTCCCAAAGGGAACACCAAGTCACCGAAGGCCCTGTTAGTCAGTCCTCATTGCATGCTTATGATATCAACCCGCTACCGGTATGTTCGCACTGCGAACGCCAAGTACCTGATGGCAACTATACGAAGTTCTCACCCATCACACAAGTCGTGACCTCGCACACGGTACGCTCCATTGAGGAGTGCCAAGTACCCGTGGCTGACCCGTCCATCCTGGCATCTCCGACTACCTACCATCAATCCCTTAATAGCTCACTACATCACCAATCGCGATCGATGGGAATTCGATCGTCCACTCCCAGGCAAGACTGGGATCACTCATCAATTACATATCCCATTATGGTACAGACTAGATATGACCTTCGTCATCCCACTATAAGAACGGATCGAGGAATGGGGAATTTCCCCCATCCCCGTAACACTGCCAGTCATCCCTATTTGCCTGACCCATACCTAACAGAGCAGCAAGATGGGTAGCACCTCCAGGATGAAAAGAATGGCCAGCAAATTCTTTCGGAAGACATGATTGCAATCTTTGCAAAACCAAGAGCAGTGTTAGACACTGGTCCGGGGTCGGCACTGAAGGTTGCCGTTGTGGGCCACTATAGGCTGCGGTGGCCGTGATGCTGTGAACAAGGCCCGAGGGTAGGGCATTTGGCCTCAGCGACTCTAAAGGAGCACTGTGCCCCCTAGCTGTCTCTTGGCCCTCATTTCAGACTCACTGGGGTTGCCTTGCTGGGGTCAGGACTTAGAGGGTCATGGTCAAATTGATATTAGAGCTAAGGTACAATAAAGTATCATACAGGATATATATAGGGAGAAAGAATGAATGGAAGCGGACCCGGGCCGAAGGGTCTGGAAGCAAACATGAATAAGGAGCGGGGTTGGCTGCATAGCGGCTGGCAATGACCGAGGGTCAAAACAAACAATAACAGATAAATAAAGGAAGGAGCATAGGGCTGCAATAGCGGCAATGGTATCATAGCGGTGCCAGACTCGGAGTTGGGCCGGAGTCAGGCACGGGAATGATAGCAGCCCTGTAGGGGCCAGTGGGCGGGGTAGAGGAGTCATGCTGGGCATGGTGCCGGAGGCGGACTTGGGGCAGGGAGGTTGGTGTGGCTGTGGGGGAGTTGGCCAGGTGCAGGGAAGCCTAGGGGCAAGCAGGGGGGTGAGCAGGGGGTCCTCAAGGAGAATAGGGATGAGGGTTGGGGCTCGCGCAGCAGGACAGGCAGGGAACAGGCCAGAATGCACAGCCATGACAAGCAGGAGGGTAAGGAACCATCACCTTGGACCCAAAGCTGAGGGAAAAAAAGAAAAGGCATTGTCTCACAGTTGATGGTAATGTTCAAAAATCAAAACCCAATCAAGTGGGCCAGACCTAGACTGGATCAAAATAGGACTACCATGAAACCGGTGATCCATTTCTGAAACCCAGTTTTGAAGGGTCATCTGGCACAACCAATTCTCCTACAGTTGTGGACAGGCAAAGACAATAAAGTTTTCAAAGTATATTTCCAAAAGGTCTCAAACATGGGGAAACAGTTTATTATGTCCCTAGCAATCATTTCCTACCAGTCATAAGTGTGAATTCAAAGATTTAATTTCTTGATTTGGAAAAAAATTGTCTGGGTGCTCAAAAATAAGCACCTACACCTGAAAAACACCTCAAATCAAAGATAATTACAAACAGAACATGATTATTGAAATGTGATGATCAACATGCAGCCAGAGTTTTGCTTCCAAAGTAGTGAAGCGCTGCCTTCCTTGTTTAGTATCTGGCACTTGTTGTTGCTCCTAAGTTAGTTCCAATCCATCCCAGAAGCAGTTATGACAGTGAAAATGACAATTGGAGCCCTGACTACAGTCAAGACTCAGAGGGTGGCAGCAATAGCATGGTATGTTGACAGACTCGATTACATCCCTAATGTTAGAACCGGGCGGAAGCAGACGACTCCGGAGTGGAATCGGAGACTTAGCGTGGAGGGACCTTGGCCTCAGCGACTCAAGCGGAGCGCTGTGCCATTGCTGTTTGTCCATTTGGTCCTTAATTTCACAGTAGGTGAGCAGGAAGTCTCTAGGGGGCATTTCAGGTCGATTTCGGACCAAACCAAAACAAGTATGTACAAGCACCGATATATATAATGGAAGGGGCAAAAGCACAAGGAAAACAAAGGGTAACCGAATCGGAACGAAGACGTCCGAACGGGAACAAAGGGTAGAAGGAGCGGAGAGGTACCGAAGGTCATAAGGCAGGACCTGTGATACATCCGAAAGGAGGTAGGGAGGGCGAGGCCCAGAGGGGCAGGAGGATGAGGGGAAGTGGGGATGATGACTAACTGGCTAGAATAGGAAGAAGCAGTAGTCCAAATAGGGATGAGGGGAAAACGCGAGAAATACATTACAAGCGGCGAGGGTGCCGAAGGCGATCCGTGAAGCTCGGGGGTTGCGGAGCTTACGGAGGTTATGGAGGCGGGGTTGAAAGTCCGAGGGATATTGGCAATGGTGTTTACGTAGTATGAGGTCACCAATGCAATGGACTAAGACCGAGGTGGAGTCAAAGTCCGAGGTAGGGACTATGACGGAGGCTCGGAGTAAGGTACGAGCGGTGTCCGAGTGCGAAGTACGGAACAGTGGTGGAAGGTCATAACTTGGCGGAAGGGTGGCGGAGGAGTAACAGAGGGAGGAGAGAGGGGAAAGGTAAGGAAGAAGGAGTGGCGGAAAGGAGAGTAGTCAGGTCCGAAGGTGAGTATCGGAACGGACGGGGGAAGCGTAGGGGGATGACAGGAGGGTGGAGGTGTTGTGAAGGGGGAGCGGAGTAGTAGGAGGGTAGCGAGAGGGGCGGTGTTCGGTCCGAGATGAGTATCGGAGCGGACAGAGATAGGGTCGGAGAGGTAAGGAGGAGGTGTGTTGCCAGGACCGAAGGTGAGTATCGGAACGGCAGCGGTAGGTTATGACTCCAGAGGTGAAGAGGGTGGAGGTCCGGAAGTCGGGTCGGGGTCAGGTATGCACGGATATGACACCTAAGAAGGGGATGAGTCCGGCAAAATGGAGGCCATTCTCAAGCATAATTCACCCACCAGCCCATTAATGTTGATTTCCATACTGGATATGCTCTCTCAAAAACCACCCAAATACTCATAACATGTGAAAAATTTTCCTCAAAAAATTGTCTGGCACTAAAAAAAGAGAGAAAAATCCAAAAACACCATTTTCAGATAGCTACACCCAATCAGAGTTTGTTTCTCTCAAAACTGAGCTTATTGTAATGGAAAATCCCAGTCTGGAAACTTTAATGTGTTTGCCTGTTGTCATGGCAACCACACCTGACCATACAACCCCAGAACCACCTTCCCTGACTTCCCCCACTTCCCTCATCTTCCCATCTTTACATACCTCTCACAACTACAGCCCACATGCAAACCCATGTGACACCTTTTCCAAATCGTGGGAACATGCTTGGCTTCTACCCATAGTCATGTTATAAACTGTACAGTACATTTCCCTTTTATAGCAGCCAAGCAGGGAATAGGGAAACTTACCCTTCTTCTCAACTCAATCCCCACTTAGGCAAGTTGTAGCTACCCTCCATAATACATGACAACTCAATCCCTGCTTAGTCCCTTCAGTGAGTTTGTGTCAGGGCATACCTGTCAGGGGACGGACCCCAGGTCCCCATGACCCCTCTCTCTATAGCCCACAGCCTAATCTGTAACAGCCTAGTCTCAAGGCACAACTACTGTGGGTAAGAAAGTGTATAAGGTAAAGAAGCAGTGTAGAATACACTTGCCTACTGTGGGTAAGAAAGTGAGAAGAAGGTTAACTTCTCACTTTCCCACAGTGGCCCAATATGGCGAAAACTTCCGGGGATACCCGGAAGTCACATGAAGAGTGGGAACCGGGCCCGGAGCATGCGGCATGTGGAGCATGTGGGGCGGAGCGCACATGCAGGTGCGGGTCCGGGTCCGGGCTAGTCAGGGTGTGTGCCCTGACAATACCCCACCTGACCCCACCTGCACCCCGTGCCGCCCTGCCCTACACTGCTTCCCCCACCATCGCTGCCCACTCTTCCTTCTTTCCTCTATGTACCACTACACCTAATGCCACTGCCCCAATGGCCACACCCACCACCCAGAGAGGTGCAGCTGCATGTGGGGATGATGTGGCTCCCTCCACATGACCTTAACTGCATGGATATAATAGCACCTGGGGTGGGAACAGAAGAAGCAACCTTCTTCTCAATTTCCCACTTCAGTGGTTGGGGATGCTCACCCTGTGACAGGACCACTGCTATGCATAGCTGATACTGTTGTGGTTATTTCTCTTCATTTCTATTCAATCTGCACTTCTACTTAGTGTCATGTGACTGCTGAGTCACTCTTTACTGTTCTTACTTGTGTAATAACACTAAAGTCAACTCAGACTGAGGTATCTGCTGAGATACAATATGAAGTTGTGAGTGGGTTAAATGAGAAGTGAAGGAAAACTCATGTTGACGATGGAGAAGGCCCGAAAATCCACCCAATCACTCAATGAACCACCCATGGGAATCGACCACCTGCCAGTCCATCATGCCTCCTGTGAGGATGATGGTGGCTCCAGCACTTCAGTATCTCTAATGGCACCTTCTTCTGACCTCCCATGCCCCTTATCATACTCCTTCCACACATCCTTTCATTTTAGGGGCTTCGGTTTTGGTCTGACTCGGCCGCTCTCCTCCCATCTTGCCACCTGGAGTACATGTTCATCCTTTGCAGCATTCCATGCTTGTGCCCTAGCAGCCTTATACTGCTTCTCTATTGCAGCTGTGACCTCCTTATCTTTTTGGGCATCCTGGCATGCCTTCTTTGCAGCTTCTGCCACTTTCTTTCCCATGTCGTTCTGCTCATATCTGCAAGAAAATCGTCATCCGTGATGATTCTGCTCCAACCTTCATAGCAGATTTGCCATCCTCCCTTCCTGCTCCACTTCAACCTTGCTGCCACTGCATGATTTCGGCATGTTTCAGCCCAACAGCCCACAATTGCAAGCTGTGAGTTCAAGGCATCCAAGCAGACTGCATACTGCTCATCATGCATCTTTGCCTTTTCCAGCTTGTCATAGATGTCCACTGCTGGCCTTGGCAGTGCATTCCAATTCACCTGGACTGTTGGATGGAGGAATGTGTGAGTGGGAACTGATGCTGGTGTTCGGGAAGGTGTCCCATTCACAAGGGCTCTTGTTGGGGATGCATTCTGGAGGGCACTTTGCAGCTGGAGGTGAGTAGGGGTCCTAGATACCAGCATAGGAAGCTTGCCAGTTTCAACCAAGGGCGATGGCTGTTGTAGTTTGAGTTGTCTCTTTCTTTCAATCTTCACTCTATAGATAGTCATGTGACTTTGGAGTCGACTTTATCCTTTCTACTTATTGTATCTAGGCTAAAGTCTACTCCAGACTGCCCCAGGGCTGCTCACCCGAGTTACTACAATGGCAGCAATGGTTTTCTCACAGATAGGGACTGTGCTGGTTTGGTGTATAGTGCCCGTTGAACATCTCTGGTGCTTCTGCTGGGAGTACCCAGCCCACTTCTGCCATCAGTCTCGCTGTCATTGTCATTGTTGTCATCATCATTGTCGTCGTCATCACTGTCACCGTCATCGTTGTCACCACCACCAGTAGCTCCATCATCAGTCTCCCAGCCCTGTCCTCGGTCTTTTTCATGTTGGATACTATACAGAGTGTTCCTGTAGATATCCATCATGGCCTTGACAGGTGATGGAACATTCAGAGGGAGGTGTGCATGCAGTGAGTGTTCCATAGCCGGTGCAAGGTCTTTGGGATTAATAACAGATTGGTTGAATGGGTGGACTCCTGTCTTCTTGAATCAGATTTTGCAATGGAGAACAGCACAACATCCAGCCCTTGGAGTAGATGGGTTGCATGTGGGGGACAACACAGAATGGCAATGTCTAGCTTGATTGCATGTTTGATAAATGCTCATGAAAAATGGGAGACATGGCCATCTAGGAGCAAGAGCCGCTTCTCACCTTCTGCCAGTTTAGAAGATGTGTGACTGTCAAACCAGGTAAGCCAGTCTACTGCAATTTCACTGTCTGTCCATCCTTTGCTTGATTGACAATATCTGGCAAAAAAATTAGAGTTGGTCATTGACTTTACATTGTGCTCATGTGGCTCCAATAGGGTTCTCTTGTTTCCATTTCTCTAAGAAGTATTGGCCCTTAAAGATGACAACAGGGGGCACATTGTTGCCATAACAGTAACATTCTCCTTGTCACCATTCCGCTGTATCTTTTGGGCTCTACCTTTAGTAGGACCAATCACTCATGTCTTCTTTCCACCCCCAAAGGGAAACCACTCTCATCAAACCCATAGATGTTGTGTGGCTGGATGTTATGTTTTGTAATTGTTTCTTCGAGCAGATCAAAGTAGAGAGCCACAGCAGCAGGAGTGACTGATTTTGCTCGGACAGAGTCTAGAGAAATGCCCCACTTTGTTGATATGTGGTTGCCATACTTTGTCACAAAGCATTGCACCCAATTCTTGCCAAATCCACAGAAAGCTGGTTCATGAGTTTGGACCTCATCCTCAGCATATTGTTGTAGACCCTGAAGTGTGAGTGGAAAACCTCGACCTGCCATTTCAATGGCAAGATCAATGACTATGGATGCTTCAGTGTCTGTCAGGTGAGACTTCCTCACATTCAACTTGGCTTTGCTTGTGCCAATGTTGAGAATCTGATGTTGGAGCAGGAGATGATTAATGCCAAAGCGCTCAGCAACACTACAGTAAGAAGGTTTTTTCCCTCTATTTTGGCAGTATGCTTCAGCCTCATCGTAAGCAGCAACAGCACAGGCCTCATGAGCTTCTGCTTGAAAAAGTTTTGCCTGGTGTTTTGCATCCTCTGACTTAGCACAGCCAGACATGACAGAAGATAGCTAGGGGAAGGCAAGACCAACAGTGAGAGTGGGCTTGGTTGGGATCAAGAGTCGCTGGTAGCGTTCAGCGAGTTTGTTAGATATGGCAAGTTCAGACAACTCCGGAGTGGAATCGGAGACTTAGGGTGGAAGGACCTTGGCCTCAGTGACTCAGGTGGAGCGCTGTGCCATTGCTGGTTGTCCTGGGGGTCCCTAATTTCAGATCTAGCAGAGGGAAAGTCTCTTAGTGTTACAGGAATGGGTTCCGGGGAACCCAACCTGAACTGTTCGGCTCACTAATGGAGGTGGCTGCATAGCCATCGGAGGGAGAGCGGAATGGGATGAGTGTCTGGAAGTACAACCTGTGGGTTGGCCAACGGTAACTTGGTGCTCCTGGGAGCGTACCGGTAGCGAGTATGACATGGGCTCCTTGAGGGAGCCACCTGGCTGTCTGCTAACGGGGACTTGGCACTCCTGGGAGCGTGCCGGTAGCGGGTGTGCTGGGAGTGGTTGGCTAGCAGTGACTTGGCACTCAATGGAGTGTACCAGTAGTGCAGGATACTGGGACTCCCAAAGGGAGTCACCCAGTTGGTGGCTATCGGTGACTTGGCACTCATGGGAGCGTACCGGTAGTGGGAGTTGTTGGGGAAAGCAGGCTGGTGGACCAGTGCATGGTAGTGGGACCCGCGGGTGTGTGGCCAGGCATCCTGGAGCTGCCTGGACCATATCCTTCTCCTAAGGAGGTGGGATAGGCTACAGTTCCTGATAGGGAACTTCTGGTTGGATGGGAGTGACCGCTCAACCACCCGGTGGTCTGGTGGGAGCGGGCAACAGGAGGTTGGGCATGGGAATGCCCTCCTCATTGTGGTTTTGTCATGGAGAGGATGAATAGGGAGGTGGACATGGTTCCAGGGTTACAGGTTGAGTTTACAGTGGTGGCACAATGGTGAAGATGTTACAATTGCGGTACAAGGTTTGTGGGTTATGTATTCGATAATGATCAACCTCCTCGGCATTTGCCTTTACATGTCATATGACTGGTTTCTATCTAATATCAAAGTCTCAATGGTCAAGGGAAGTCCCTTGAAACTTAACAATTCCCCCAGCCAGCACCAAAACCCAGTGGGAAAGCTTGGCATGGAGTTTGACAGAGAAATATAATGAAGGAGGGCAGAGACAACCTACCTACTTGCCGTCACGGACCATAAGAATCTAGTCTGTCAGAGACCAGATTCGAGACGAAGGAATGTCTCCGTAGCGGAGGGCTTCGGCCTCAGCAACTTCTGCCAAGAGCGCTGTGCCTAGTGACACGTCCGTGCCCTAACTTACTGACTGGCAATTAGAACCTAGGGGGGTAACTCTAGTTGATTTTACTACTGGGGTGTAACCTATGTACAAGTGGGATATATATATGGTTACAGCGGAGACAGGTCCGCAATTGGCGGAGCCGAACGGAGCGGAGCTAACGGGGTTTAAACATTAGCCGACTGAATATTACCAACGAGTCGGTTCACGGGGTTAGCGGAAAGGCAGGCGATAACCCAGAAACGGAAAGGAGGGATAGGCCCGAAGGTGGGCTCTGCAGGGCAGGCGAGTGTATTGCCCAGCGGAGGCAGGGGTGCGCTAGCGGACGTCGGAGCTGTCCGGAAGTCTTCAGGGCTCCGTACTTAGGGAGGCGTAGGTAATAAATTGAAATGAGGGGGTGGTGACCATCGAGGGGTACCGAGAGGATTGCGGAATAACGGGGGCTCCGAGGTTAGTGAGGGAGGAGCGGAGTTGGATCAGAGGGATCGGAGGGACCGGAAGTCGATGGCTGGGAATGGATATGACACCTCTGAGATGAACTGAGATGAACTGTAATGTTTATACAAGAGTAGAAACAGATAGAGTTCATCTCTGCAGTCATGTGACACATAAAAGGAAAAGAAAAAGGAAATCAAACAAGAGGTAGATGTACTACAACACTCCCCCTCAACCTAGCTCTTGTCTTCTAAGCCCTAGTAATTGGCATTGGTCTTGATGGAGATCTTTACTGAGAGCCTTGGTCAGGATATCAGCACAATTACTGCTGGATGGTACCCATTCTATCCTCAACTTCCCCAAATCCACCTGGTCTCTGATCCAATAATATTTTGTGTCCAGATGCTTCATCTTCCCATGATGCTCTGGATTCTTAGCCACCTTGATGGATGATTGGTTGTCAATTTGAAGGGGGAATGGTGAGGCTTGAGGGAATCCAAGTTCCTCCAGTAGGTGAGTCAACCAAGTCCCATCAGAGGCTCCAGAGTTGGCAGCAATTAACTCTGCCTCTGTGGTGGACCTAGCCACAACATCCTGACGACGACTTGACCAGTTGACACAAGAAGCCCCAATAAAGGAGGCATAGCCAGATGTGGATCTTGCTTTCTCAGTGTCACCAGCATAGTCAGAGTCAGAAAACACTGAGAGGCTGACTCCCCCTACAGTGGATGGACCAAACTCAAGGCAGAAATCTGAACTACCTTTGAGATATTGGAATACCCTTTGGATGGCCTTCCAGTGGACCTTGGCTGGACAAGAGTTGAAGCGACTTAGCAGCCCAACTGCATAAGCAATGTCAGGCCTTGTCCCAATAGCCAAATACATGAGGCTTCCAACAGCACTCAAGTATGGTACACCAGCCATATACTCCTTCTCCTCTTGGGACATGGATTCAACTTTGGAAAGGGAAATGGAAGGGTCAAGAGGGGTAGAAACTGGCCTAGAGTGTTCATGATGGAAGCGATGGAGGATGTCAAGGGTATGTTTGTGTTGGGAGAGCCAGATCTTGCAGCTAGGGCGATTCCTATGAACTTCAAGGCCTAGAATGTACTTGAGCTCCCCCAGATCTCTCATTTCAAACTTGGATTGCAATTTGGACTTGAGCTCAGTGAGAGCATCCAAGTTATTGCATGCAAGTGTGAGATCATCAACATAGACAGGAATGATAACCTTGACCTTATCCTTGGCCCAAACCCAGATAGAATTATCACTTGGACATCTTTTGAATCCCAAATCCAAGAAAGTTTCATGCAACTTCTGGTACCATTGCCTAGGACTTTGCTTGAGACCATAGAGTGACTTCTTCAAGTGGCATACCATGTGTTCCTTGCCTGGCTCCACAAATCCTTCAGGCTGGACCATATAGATGTCTTCTTGGAGGTCACCATTGAGAAAGGCTGAAGACACATCCATGTGGTGGAGTTCCAAGTCTTCTATGGCAGCAATGGCAAGGATGGTTCTGAGGGAAGCAAATTTGGTGACTGGGGCAAATGTTTCAGTGTAATCAAGATGGGGTTTTTGGGAGAATCCTTGGGCAACAATCCTAGCCTTATACCTCTCAATAGAACCATCTGCATTCTCCTTGATCTTGAAGACCCACTTAGACCCAACAGGTTTCCTTCCCTTTGGCAGGGGAACCAACTCCCAAGTGTTGTGTGACAACATTTGAGTGTACTCCTTCAGGGCAGCCTCATACCATAAGTCCCAATCATCTCTTTTCTGAGCCTCCTTCATTGACCTAGGCTCAGCTGGAGAAGTCCTAAAAGCCCATTCTACCATTGCTTCCATTGACAACACCTTGGACTGGTACTTGGCCAAGCCAACTGACATTGCAAGTTCATCCTCTGATTCCTCATTGAGATCCTCAGATTCAGAGTGGGATTCAACATCAGGTGTAGGCTCTCTGGCTTCCCATTTGCTGGCAGGTGGAGGAAGCTTAACCTTCCACCACTCACCAGGTGGCTTGCCAGCATTGGAGCGAGTAGTCCTGCGAAGATTGGTAGGGCCAGATGAGGAAGATGGAGCACCAGAAGGAGGAGGTGATGGAGATGAAGGATTGGGAGTGGGAGTGGGAGAAGGAGAG